GATAGATAGACAGATAGATAGATAGATAGATAGATAAATAGATAGATAGATAGATATATAAGAAAGAAAGTTAAATGTCACAGCCCTTGTATATAGGCAGGGAAGCAAATTGGTCGCTTGAATTAATTGAAAATAAACTTTAAAATGTGATTAAGTTAATAAATCCTTCAATCATGCTACCGACGACTACGCTGTATATCAACCATAACGTATTTGTAACAAAAAGAAAAGAAAAGGATAAAATTACGGACCTTTTTAGCAGCTGCCAAGCTGTCGTTGTCCTTGAGTTTCTTGTTCTTGATGAGGATTTTATGCTTGAGTTGGTTCGGTGAAGGCAATTGGGGGTCTTCGGCGTAATCCGAGTCAAACAGGAAGTCTGTGACCAGCTTATCACCGAAGACGTTCTATTTAAGAATAACAGCAAATGATCAGTCGGCATAAAAATTACACAAAGAGAATATAGTCATGGTCAAACAAAAAGTTTGAGCAATAATTTGAAAATTTTGAATTTATACTATTGACACAGAGGTGGATAATAATAATACATGTAATACGTGGCATTTATATCGATTAAAAGTACATAGACGATGGTAAACAGTACATTGAGTTCTGACTAAAAAAGTATATATTGCATTGGCTAAAGCTGACATTTGAATGAATAAAACGATTTGATATCTCTTAAACTACTGGGTAAAGCATTCCCGATCTTGGGCTCGTGGTATGCAAATTATGCCCTTTCAGCCATATTGTTTTAAGTTTCATGATTGGTCAGCTGATGACCTTAAACTGCAAGTCGGAAAGTACAGTTTCAACAGATTTGATAAATGAAATAAATACTATGCAGACTGGATTTCTTATAATTCCCATGATCTAATGTTCGTATTTTTCTCTTGGTCTGTGTCTGCAGTTTTAAGCCTAACAATTGGTTAAGAAACAACAATAGAGACGATCTGCTAAATATTAGAATTAACTTGAATGCGCCTTTGGCACAGGTCTGACAATTTTGGGGAGTGATTTTCGATTCTACCTTAAAACATGATAGCGAACATGTAGACCTTTAGTGATTTTCAAGGACTTAGAAGACCTAGTCCTAGAAAGGTCTTTTATTCTAATTTCTTCCATTTATCTGGTCTTAAGAAACTCAAACTAATTTTTAAGGTTTCACGTTTCCTTTCACAACTCACCTGTAGGCCACAGGTTTTAACAGTTTTGTTCTTGATACGCCTGAACACAGCCCCCAATAATAAGCTACACAAACAAACTTAGCCCAAAAGAAAAAGAAAAGCTACCGAGAGTCATGTTTCATTGTATTCAGCGAAATAAATACAAGCATTATGTATTATAATTATTATTGCCTTAATCCTGGATGATCCGAACGGCCAGTCGTCCTTTGTGATGGTATTTTTACCACTTATTTTCCCCCAGCTACCCCCATCTAACGGGGTTTTTTTGGCGACTGGATTGTCCGGTTTTCTCTTTAGTTTCTATAAACAACAAGCAGAACGATGATCAGTCATCCAAATAAACCCATAGCATCAATGGATTCTTTGTTGGGTTTCACACGGGATTCAGGCCCTAGAAAAGCAACACTTACCACAAAAATTTGGGCCATTTTCTGCTGCTGTGCAAGGGAACAATGATTTTCGATGGACAGGATGATGGGGTAGGGCGATGTGACAAAGGCACTCCTGTTGATTGCTTCTACAACTCCCTGTGGGATACAACGTCATTTATTTCTGTTACAACGACTTTTGAAGCCAGCACAGGCCAGGATTGTCCACATAAACAGCAAGCATAATAATATGAAGAATAAACAATTTTCTCCACTTTGCCCCAATTCACATCTTTTTTTCTATGATAATTTTTGTTTAATATTTTATCAGTTTTCTCTCATTTTCTGTACCTCTTTCCCCCTACCTCCCGAACAAAATCGCCTTTCTCCCCACTTTTCCCTTTTGTTTTTTTTTCATGGTTATCCCGTCTTTCACTTCTCTTTCCCTCTATTCTTACCCCCC